TGGGCACTGATAATTTATATAATTTATACAATTTAGTGATGACAGTAATACTGGTTTTTGTTAGGACAATATAGGTCAGTCAGTCAACTTTCAAAATATAGAGCAAACAATAATAGCAGCTCTAGGGCTATGTTCAGATATATCCTTGGTCTGCTGTTGCTGGTTAATTAAGAGATAGAGGACTCAGCTTTTGAGGCCTAGTTGATTTTCATGAGAGTCAGTAACTGATCTGTAATTAAAGACTCTACTCCGAATCCTCTTCTATAAATATTTCAGACCATATAGAACCCAGGTGAGAGAATATGAATACAAATTGGAGAAGACTAAGGAGTCAGGAGGCTAAATGCAATGTGGAATTCCTGAACTGAAAAGGAACACGTGACTAAACTCATGAAATGTTAAGTCTGTAGTTTAATTAATAGTAGTGAATCAATGTTTTGATAATTGAAGCTTAGTTTTGGTGATTATACTGTAGGTATGTAAAATGCTAACATTAGAGGAAGCTGGGTGAAGGGTATGAGGAATTCTGAATTTACTGTTGCAACTCTTCTGTAAATCTAAAAATATTTCAAAATTAAGAGTTTAAAAAAGTCAAAATGAAGCCACATGGCGTGGCATAAATGTTTTGTTTATAATAGCAAGCAGAATGTCTGAGGAACATAGCCAAAGTTTTAGGTATTAACTTGCATATCAGAATTAGAGAAGATATTAAACTAGAAAGATGTTTGCTTTCTAGCAGGGCTAGGCTGGATCTGAGTCTGGTAGAGAGAGAGATGAATGCCCAAGTGATTGTTTTCATAATGCTTTCCAAAAGTCAGATAATGATGTGGAGTCTTATTATTTTGTGTTGTTGCAAGACTTCTGTGTTTGCACAGTGGTTGACATGTGTATGGAATGCTGATGTTTAATGAAGGAATGAATGAAATTGGTTAGTATGATGAAACATGAATATAGTCCATGTCATTTGAATAAATGGCAGTAAGAAATAAATCCTGCATTTTCATATTTCATCCCCCCCTACTCATCCCCCACTTCACAATGCACCTTATGCATTTAGGCAGAAAGCTGCAGACTGGGTGAAGCAAGTTATCCAGATTCCTGTGAAGAAATTAAAAGGCTCTTATTTTTAAGTGCCTTTTGCTGCCACTTCTTAACCCTGACAATTATTAACTTCTTCAAAAATAACTATTTTTGACGTGCCAGTGAAAGACATGAAGGTAGTGGTTAACAATGAAGCCTCGAAGTAGTTAAACTTGGTTTCTATTCCACTGGTGCAACTTAGTAGCTAGCTGTATAACCTCTGGCAAAATACTTAACTTTATATCCTCACTTTCTCCTAAAATAAGGATACTTCATAGAACTAAGAAGAAATTATCTTCAGAGAGCTTAAGTCAGCTCCTGTCACGTAGTAGAGCACTTTTAAAAGAAGTAGGAACAACATATTCATATAGCAAACCTTTATCGAGCAGCTCTTGTCTGCAGATGATATGCTGAGAGTTGGGAGTATTCTCTGCTCCCGAGGAACTTAGTCTGATGCAATAGACAGGTAAGTAAAATAATAAATAATAATAGCAACGGTAGCTTCTGTTTATTGGCTACCTACTGTGTTTCAATCGCAATATAATATCTATTTCTATTAATACAACTACTTTATGAAATATAAGTATTGTCCCTATTTTTCAGATGAGGAAATCAAGGCTCCAAGAAGTTAAGTAATTTGTCCAAGATTACATAGCTAATGGAAAACCCAAGATTTGATCCCCAATCTGCCTAACACCAAAGTCTTCCTTAACCCATTCTTCAGATGATTACAAATCCAGTGTTTGGCAGAGGGCAGTGGCTCACACCTGTAGTCCCAGCACTTTGGGGGCTGAGGCAGGAGGATCAGTTGAGCCAAGGAGTTTAAGACCAGCCTCCACAACATAGTGAGACCTTGTCTCTACCCAAAAAATAATAATAATAGTTTTAAAAAAAATTAGCCAGGCATGGTGGTGTGAGTCTGTGATCCCAGCTCTTTGGAAGGCTGAGGCAAAAAGATCACTTGAGCCTGGGAGATGAAGGCTACAGTGAGCTGTGATTCACACCTCTGCCCTCCAGCCTGGGCAACAGAGCAAGACCAGTCTCAAAAACATATATAAGTATAACATTTGAAGTGCTTTGACAAGGTTATAGAAGACCTCAGCACATGTAATATTGTTACAGCTTAGTGAGCCTGTCTTTCAGTGTTTCTTTTAATATTCCTATAGACCCAAGTTTCTATATTCATATTACCTACAGAAAATAGAAATAATTACTAGTACCATTCCTCTTGTAAGTGAACAGGAAGCTTTCTTTGTGCTAGATTTGTAAAGCAGAGGTTGAAACTGGGCTACCACGGGTCCAGAGAAGCGTTCCTAGCTCTTGTTCTCTTGCCTGTGAAGTGTACCATGAGAGCCTAAGGCAATAAAGAGGCCAGGCCACCTTCTTTACAGGCCTCTGTCCCATTCACTCCTTTGAGTTTATTTCACCAGGTCTGGGGAATTTCAGAATGATATGACTCTATAAGGGCTTCTGGAGACATTAAAACTTACCAATGGGCCAGGTGGTGGCTCACACCTGTAATCCCAGCACTTTGGGAGGCCACAGCGGGTGGATTGCTTCAGCCCAGGATTTGGAGACCAGCCTGGGAAATATGGCGAATCCCTGTCTCTACAAAAAATTTTACAAAAATTAGCCGGGTATGGTGGAGCACACCTGTGCTACTCAGGAGGTTGAAGTGCGAGGACTGCAGTGAGCTGAGATCATGCCACTGCACTCCAGCCTGGGCAACAGAGCAAGACCCTGTCTCAAAAAAAAAAAAAAAAAAAAAAACTTTACCCGTGCTATTTGGAGAGTATCCTCAATTTACAGGCACTAAAACTCATCCTGTGATTATGGTTTAAAGTGCAGCAATTATTGTATGTATTTCAGGATCTCTGAACACACATCCAAGAGTTTCTTGTGCTGCTTTATCCTGTGAGTGAAATTAACATTTGAACATAGTCCTTGACTCATTTAACATCTAGTCCTTGACTCATGAGAACATCTAGTTTCTGACTCATGGGAACATCTAGTCCTTGACTCATCTGAGAGTGTAGTTTTTCTAGAAAATTAGAAATATATATATCTGTATGTGTCCATATGGGATACGATGTTCTAGGGGTGGTTAGTCATAGAGGTGGTATTGTGAAGATAAGGCCTTTCTGACAGTCATTTTGGAAAGTGGACTGTGGAGCTGAGCTGAGGTTACTTTGTAAAGAGAGAACTTCTCCCTGGCACCCCCGTTGCCTCACACTCCTGGATACCAAAGGCAGACCACAGTGGTGTTCACTAGGTTTAGACTGTATCTGAAGCTCTTTCCCCAGATGTACCCTCTTTTCTCTCTTAAACCCTTAAGCTGCCTCTAACTTTTTCTACCACTCCTATCTACTTTTTTGGGACCTTTTTCTCTGAAAGGCAACAGTTGGTGGTAATGGTTTCACAGGAGGAGGAGAGCTGACCTTTCACGTCTAGTTTGCTCTGGCATTTTACATTCTTAATCTCATTTAATCCTCGCAGCATCCTATCTGGGTAGGTGGATTATCCCTACATTTATAGATGTGGAAAAAATAACTTTCCTAGAGGACTTGAAGCTTGAAAGTGATAAAACTGGAAATTAGCTCTAGTTCTTATAACTTCATAGATTGTACTCTTCCACGAAGCTGTAATGATGGGGATCATTACTGTTATTACTGTTACTACTACTTGCCACTAGTTTTTATGTCAGCAAGCTAAGAGAATGCTTTGCCTAAGGTGCACAAGTATGTATGGTCTCAAGGTATGAATGGAGTGAGCTGATTTTAACACATTGGGCCTTTATAGCAACCTGCTGACTAGGTATATTTATCATTTTAACTTTACAGATGGGGAAACTAAGGCTCACAAAGACTGATCCAAAGTCACAAAGCCAGTCAATCTGTCTGGCAGTGGAGACTCGATCCAGTCTTTCTTGAGCCATCTCTTAAAGCTCACTGTGCATGCAATGCTGCGCTCCTGCTGGGTAGAGAGCCAGTTCCTGTCACTGAGACAGGTTCTTCAGTTAGGAGTATGTAGCAACATAAGACAGCATGATTATAACTTAACAAAATAATAGGAATTTGTTTCTTCGGTAAGAACATGAGACTATAAAGGCTTAGCAAAAGGGTATAAACTTGCATTTATAACAATACTTACTAAATTTTTTAATGCATATTGAAGGCATCTGAGTAGTGTTTCTAGAGTGCATTCCCTGTATCAAAACTATAGATTCAGTATGGCTAAGATCAAAAGAAGAAGGCCATTAACTGTTTTGAACTATAATGCCACTACGATCCATAAATTAGTAAATGAGTGATGGTGATAGGTGGCTTGTGGCTGGGCTATATGGCCATCAGATGTTAATGAGCTATTCAGATGGGTATCTGCCTAAAACAGGATATGTGGACCAACACTTACAGGGTTGTCACTTAGGAAACGCTGCACTCAGTTGCCTTCAAGGGTTGTGTATCTGGGGTAATGGAAGCCAGACAGTCGGTTATGTTCGGGTGAATATCTTAGAGTTTTGCTCATTTGTTTCTTGCCTTATAGACCATTTAAGATAAAGAGCTCTTTAGCAGTCATCGGGTAATTGAAATTCTAAGATTATCAAATACTAGTTGGGTAGTCCACTTTAAGGCTGATTTTCTTTCACATGATATAAAGTCTTTTACCAATCTCTCACTTACTCTCTTTGGGAAGAAAACTTGATTCATTTACACATACATTCAGCAACATGTATTGAGTAATTACTATTTGCTAGTCATTGTGCTAATGCCAGGGAAACATCACAAGATAAGATGCCATCCCAGTCCTCACAGTAAATAGTAGTGATATTGTTAATACAGCATATTATAAAATTTATTACAGAGAAATGCAGTATAGTTTGAGAGCATAGATGAAAGTAACATTTATTTCCATCCCAATAGATTTCGGTTTTGGAAATTTCTTTAAAAGTGGTGAACTGCTGGCAACATGGTGTGGCAGCCCCCCTTATGCAGCCCCAGAAGTCTTTGAAGGGCAGCAGTATGAAGGACCACAGCTGGACATCTGGGTACTGCTTTGCTTTGCTGTGTTGTTAAATGCATCTATAATGATACTTGGTGCTCTGGCCCATCGTAGAAGCTCCTGGTACTTAACATATAAGCAGTATTTCATATTTTCCCCATCCACTGGACTATACTTACTCAGAGCATCTTGAAATGGATCCCTCGGAAAGACTTTCTAAGGATAGGTGTTGTCATCCTAATATCAGCAGTAATTTAAAGTTAAGTAGTAATCAAAATGATCAGATTCAAATTCTTTGGTATTTATTATAAGATACTTATTATAGTAGTCAGGGTTTTGGATTTTTTCAAATTCTGAGAAAATAATAAATTGAGACAGGAATTTTTCAGTCCATATGATTTCAAGAGCCCTGGGGATGTTCAGGAAAACAAAGAGCATTTGATGTTCTTGGTAGAAAAGTCTCTGCATTCTTTTCTTCCCTAGAGTATGGGAGTTGTTCTTTACGTCCTTGTCTGTGGAGCTCTGCCCTTTGATGGACCGACTCTTCCAATTTTGAGGCAGAGGGTTCTGGAAGGAAGATTCCGGATTCCGTATTTCATGTCAGAAGGTAACAAGCTTTTCATCTTTCTTACGGTGTTTTACAGTGTTAATGCTCCAAGTGAAAGGCCTAGGTAAAAGCTTCTTTTTTTTTTTTCCAAGAGTTTGGGTGCCAAATGAAGTGACTGAGCTATAGGTTAAAAGCTATAGAAAGAAGCAAACTCCTTTATGTAGGTGAGACAGGTTCCAGCCTTCTACTTGTAACTGAACACACAGCATTTCCCAGATTAACAGCAGCATGTCTTCTCATTCATTCTGGCTCTATAAATGTCCCAGGTTTATTTTAGATTTAACGAAGCCCTTTGTAGATACAGACTCATAACCATTTTACTCCAATATGTAATGGATTTTATAAAATTAAAAATTTTTAATTAAAAGGCCAACTGGCAAAATTCTGCTAAATTCAGATGAGATGCCATAATCCCTGCCTGTCGTGTATTGAGCTGTTACCTAGACAGCAGTTAAGTTTACCCCTTAGTTTCATTTTGGTAAAATTATTCTTAACTTTTTTCTTTCTACTAACAGTAGAAATAATATTCTTTGTAGTTAAGAGCATGGACTATGAAGCCAGACTACCATACTGCCTGATTTTAATCCTGAGTCCACCGGTTACTGGCCATATGACTTTCACAAGTTTTATCTCCTCTCTCTCTGCTTCAATTTCCCCATCTATAAAATGGAAATAGCAATAGCTCCTACCCCATGGGTGTTGTAAGGTTTAATTAAATTAATCTGTCAATCAGGTATGGTGGTTTATACCTGTAATTCCAGTGGTTTGGGAGGCCAAGGCAGGAGGATCTGTTAAGGCCAGGAGTTGGAGACCAGCCTGGACAATATTGCAAGACCCTGTCTCTACAAAAAAAAAAAAAAAAAAATTTCAATTAGCCTGTTGTGGTGGCATGCACCTGTAGTCCTAGCTACTCAGGAAGCTGAGGCAGGAGGATTGCTTGCAGTGAGCTGTGATTGCATTACTGCACTCCATCCTGGGCACCCTGACCAAGAATGAGACCCTGTCTCCAATAATAATAATAATAGTTAATAAGCATAATCTATGTAAAGCACTTAGCACAGCGCCTGGCATATAGTGACAGGAGGTTAGCTTATGTGTGAGTGAAGAGCATCATGTCAGCTCAGAGAATATGCTAGTGCTCAAAGTTGCAGCAGTGCAGTTTTCTTGGTGTAGTCAGAAGTAAGTAATATTTTACATACACTTTTCTCGCTACAGTGATATGGAGGAGAGCAGCAGCCCATTGGAGAGCTCTTTGCCTCGCTTACATAGCCTTAGTATATCAGCATTAGATATGACTGAGAATCGATTTACTGTCTGCTTGTTCTAGGAATGAGGCTTATTTATTTTCTTTGGTGGAAGTCAAAGTCTGTTTCTAGATATTTTCAGTTGCGAAATTCAGTAGAAAGTTTCATTTAGCCCAGAATCTGATAGACCTACACCCTCCTGTTTTTCTTAGGTATTTGTTCACCGCGTTAGCTTGACAAATATAAGTAGCCTGCATGTATTCATTTATTCATTTGACCTTCCACTTTCCAGTAGAGGATACAAAGATTAACACCCTTGTACAAAGTCACGAGTCAAGCAAATAACCCTGAAGTGCAAGGTGATTTATGTGACTTTTGTAACATTGTGTTTTCTATAGATTGCGAGCACCTTATTCGAAGGATGTTGGTCCTAGACCCATCCAAACGGCTAACCATAGCTCAAATCAGGGAGCATAAATGGATGCTCATAGAAGTTCCTGTTCAGAGACCTGTTCTGTATCCACAAGAGCAAGAAAATGAGCCATCCATCGGGGAGTTTAATGAGCAGGTTCTGCGACTGATGCACAGCCTTGGAATAGATCAGCAGAAAACCATTGAGGTAAAGTGATCAGAGATTTGACTAAAGGTATTTCAGGGTTCTACTGCACTTAGCTACTTGAACTTTCATACTCACACCTGTCATCCTGGTCTTTTAGCACATGTATCCCCAGCGCCTAGGCATACTGTTCAGTGTTCCCTATTGATGACATCAGACTCTATTTATATTTACTTTTATTCAGCATCTTAAATTCCTTTCTTTGCCCCATCTGCCAAAACATTCGAGAGGAGGCATTTATAAAAGAGTCAGAAAAGGCAAAGATGGAAGCTTAACAAATACAAGGTAGAAAGTTGCTTCCAAGATGAAACATGAAGTTTTACATAGGTATTTAACTAGTTTGTATGGAACATAAATGTGCAGCTAGGCAAAGGGCCAAGCAGGAAACAAGAAGGGTAGGTATCAGGTTTAAGAAAGCCGGGGAATTTAGATTGTGAACTGGAGAAACTAAGAAGGCAAAAACAGGTGGGCTCCTGATTTGGAAGTATTTAGGGATCATAGAACTCTGAAGGGTCATGAACCTGGAAAATTCCTCTTGGCTTTTATTTCTGTCCTCAAATAGTTAGCATACTTATAGGATATACATATTTCTAATACTTCTACAATAGTAAAAAAGCAAACAGTGCTCTTGAGGAAGAAACATAACAAGAATATCAAATGCCGCCTTGTTTGCTGTGAAAGACCAAGGCTCCATGCTGTACTGCCTTTGCCCTGCCACGTAGCCATAAGTGAAACCAAACTGACTCTCCTGCTTTGCTCACTGTGCGCTCAGTGATGTTTTCCTGTACTTGTCCCTGAAGTGCATCCAGAGCGGTAGCTGGGCGTGCAATTCCACTGACCTGTGATTTTTGCCGAGACGGCTCTGCATCCTGGTGCCCTGCACAGCACCCATGCCGACTGTCAGGTGGAATTAGAAGCCAAAGGAGCAGTTGTTTCTCTGTTCCCTCAGTATCTGGGAAAGCTGGCAGGCTGGAGATGTGAACATTTGGGAAGCAACTTTATTTTCAAGGTTTTAAGAGGGTGGGACTGCAAAAACAAGAGGAAAAAATTACCTAAGAACAGAGACATAGTGTCTCTCAATTTAGCTTCCAGATGCCATTCTCCAGCCCAAAATAATCATCAGAAAGTTCTCCACATACTTTAACCATTCACTTCAGAGTTTTCAATGGTTCAGATTTGTGTTGAAGCCATGGAATTAGAGCCTCGAGCTCAGGTTGCTAACTGACCTTACACCGCCGTTACAGCTATGAGATGGGGCCATGTGGCAGCATTGGGGAATGTCTACATGAGATAATGATGGCATTTTCTCTGACTGGAGAAAAATAAATGGATCTTGTTCATGTAAAAGGGCTGGTCAACCCATTTAAAGGGATCATCATTTATATAATTAATACTAGGCCGGGCGCGGTGGCTCAAGCCTGTAATCCCAGCACTTTGGGAGGCCAAGACGGGCAGATCACGAGGTCAGGAGATCGAGACCATCCTGGCTAACACGGTGAAACCCCGTCTCTACTAAAAAAAAAATACAAAAAATTAGCCGGGCGTAGTGGTGGGCGCCTGTAGTCCCAGCTACTCAGGAGGCTGAGGCAGGAGAATGGCGAGAACCCAGGAGGCGGAGCTTGCAGTGAGCTGAGATCCGGCCACTGCACTCCAGCCTGGGCAACAGAGCAAGACTCCGTCTCAAAAAAAAAAAAAATTAATACTAGAGACTTGAAGTTTTCTGCCTTCCAGTCTTAATTTTGGAGCAGCTTTCATCTTGAGACACACTTTGTTTTTCACTCTGTTTTTAACAGCACACGTTTCTTTCCGCTTTTTTTTAGGCATGTATAGATCATTGCATTGGTCTTTACGGCTCTTTGCCTTTACCACTTGTTTTTTCTTTCAGTCTTTGCAGAACAAGAGCTATAACCACTTTGCTGCCATTTATTTCTTGTTGGTGGAGCGCCTGAAATCACATAGGAGCAGTTTCCCAGTGGAGCAGAGACTTGACGGCCGCCAGCGTCGGCCTAGTACCATTGCTGAGCAAACAGTTGCCAAGGTAATGCCCCCTTAGCTGAGAGTCTTATCTGTGCATGTGCCTGTTCACATGTTCGACAGATTTTTCATATTATACACAGGGTTAGGATTTCACCCTCTACACTCTGTTTTTCTGTAGAGTTTCTGCCTGCCATCCACTAGATTCTCAAATGTTTTAGCACTTTCTCATTTTTAAGGGTTAACTTTATTTCAAGCAGTTTTTTAAAAGAGGTGTTTCTCTTTTTCATCATTCACAATGTTGAGAATTACTTGTCACTAGCTTTCACATTCAATTCCATATAACAAATTTTTATTACAGATTTACCATGTGCGAGCTTCTATTCTTAGGCACTGTTGGGGGTAGGATATATAAACTACAGTCATTGCCCTCAGAGACATCACACTATAGAAGTGAAATAAGACAAGATTGTAAACAACCATCATTCACAATAGGGAAAGATGAGTGCTGTAGCAGAGCCAGGGACAGGGGAGAGAGGGGCACAACTGAACAGGGGAAACGGCTTGTAAGACACACCTTCACAGATGGGGAGGACTTGAGTGGTGAGCTGAGGCATTATTGTGAAGAGTTTTAAATGCCAAGGTAAAGAGTTTACTTACAATTCAGTAAGCAACAAGGACCTACTGAAGGCCGCTAAGCTGAAAAGTGATATAATTCTATCCATGCTTTAGGCTAATTAATCTGGTAGCATTATGAAGGATGTGTCAGGAAGAGAAAAGAAGAAATTTGGAGAGAGCAGTTAGGAGAGTGTTACAGTAGAGACGAGAAATACCGAAGGCTTAAATATGGCACTGTTGGAAGCAGAAAAGAAGGGGCAAGTATAAGAACCATTTCAGAGGTAGACTCTGTATGAAGTTAGCAATGGTTCAGAGATGCAGCTCAGCGTGGTGGTTAGAAGCACCTGGAGCAAATCCCAAATTCTACCACTTCCTGCTATGTGACATTTTAAGTTTCTTAAGGTCTTTTTGTGCCTTGGTTTCCCAAGTGTGTAATGGGGATAATAACAGAATGCTGTGACAATTAAATCAGTTAATATCTGTGAAATAGCTAATGTTTGTGAAATACTATCTGCCTGGCACATAGTAAGTGCTATGTAAATGCTTGTTATATAAAGTAATAAATAAATATTGGGGAGGAAGGGACAACATGACTTAGAGATGACTCTGTTCTTGAGCCAGAGCCTGAGAAAATAGGGGTAGCATTAACTCAGTTGCTCATGAGGAAGATGTGGATCTTGATCCGAGGAGAGAGGCTGGGGCTAGAAATTTGGGAATCGTCCATGTAGAGATTGAGATGAATCGTTGGTTAGTATGCTCCACTGACTTTCCTGTCCACTTCTGTGAGTAACTGCCTTTATTCAAAATAAAAATAAAGGCAGAAGAGTTTTGACTTTGTATTTCTTTGGCAGTTTTACAAAATTTACAGGATTATAATAAAATTTTGCACTGGCATCTACAGAGTGTGTTTTAAAAAAGGAAATTAAATCTTCTTGATTTTAGTAGGTAAGTGGTATATTTTGTTATACATACTTTATATATAAAATAAGAGTATTGGCTGGGCGCGGTGGCTCACGCCTGTAATCCCAGCACTTTGGGAGGCCGAGGCGGGTGGATCACAAGGTCAGGAGATCAAGACCATCCTGGCCAACATGGTGAAACCCCGTCTCTACTAAAAATCTAAAAATTAGCCGGGCGTGGCAGCGCGCGCTTGTAGTCCCAGCTACTCAGGAGGCTGAGGCAGGAGAATCACTAGAACCTGGGAGGCAGAGGTTGCAGTGAGCCAAGATCCCGCCACTGCACTCCAGCCTGGGTGACAGAGTGAGACTCTGTCTCAAAAAAAAAAAAAAAAAAGTGAGTATTGATAACAGATGTGAGTAAAATAATGTATCAATATAGTTCCAGATACTTGAGTTAGAGTATCATTGAGCACTTGGAAATCTTCTAAGTTGAATGGTGTTGCTTTCAAGACAGAAAGAAGGAGATAAAATGAAAACCACTTAAGATGTAGTGGAACCCCTTCCTTCTTGCAAATGCCACTAGACAAAAGGATAGGAAGCTGGAAAGCCCCCAGGTCCAGCAGGCTTTCCCTGCCAAGTCTCTTTATTCTTCTTAAACATTACGCAAGTGAGGGAGTGGTGAGGGGTTATATAAACAGTTGTTCCTGAGCACGTGCATATGTTATTGTACACGATATCCTTTCATGTCTAGACTATGAGCAAATTCCCCGGCATATCTCAAATTATATTTAATTTGGCTTAGGGTTCAGATGCATAACATGGCTTCTTATGTTCAATAATTTTTTAATTACCAAGTACTCTGTGTCCTTTATGCATTGACCCAAGTCTCAATGGAACCTACTTAGTGTAACTAAAATGCTTCTACTTCAAATGGAGTCTTCAGTGCTTATTCACACGCTTGCCTGAGAGCCTTCTGGATGCTGAGCAACAGGCCCCTCCTCTCAGAGATTTCACATTTTGAGTTTTAGTGTTGAACTTGTTAAAAAATAGATTTCTGTTTTTATGGATATAAATGTGCCTAAAGTTTTAGTAAAGCCTTCTCACTTTAATTCCTTGATGTTCTAATTTTTTTTAAAGAAGTGGCAAATCACTTGTTTCTTGATATAGCAGCAAGAAATTGAGGAAACATGATCCAGTCAATACAAAGATAACGTGAGCCGTGGAATCATGCAGACCTCAGGTTCCGCACCAAGCTGAGTGACTTCAGGCGAGTCAGCGTCTCTGAGCTCCTGTGCCCTTATATACAGAATGGGAACAGCAATACATACTTCATTAGATTGCTACCAAGATACAATTGGTTAACCTGTACCAGAAGTTTAGTTCAACCAATAGAGCACTTATACGCCAGGCACAGTCCTAGCCACTGTGGCTTCAGAAGTGCCCTGGAAACAGTCGCTCCCCTTAAGAAGTTCATAGCCTAGTTACAAAATACCCATTATGGCCTTGCACGGTTGCTCACGCCCGTAATCCTAGCACTTTGGGAGGCTAAGGCGGGCAGTTCGCTTGAGCCCAGGCATTTGAGACCAGCCTGGGCAACATGGTGAAACACCATCTCTACTAAAAATACAAAAATTAGCCAGTTATGGTGGTGCATGCCTATAATCCCAGCTATGCGGGAGGCTGAGGCAGGAAAATCGCTTGAACCCAAGAGACAGAGGTTGCAGTGAGCCGAGATCACACCACTGCATTCCAGTCTGGGCGACACAGTGAGGCTCTGTCCCAAAAAGTAAAACATAAAAAAAAAATAAAGTACCCATTATTATTATTTAGACAACAGTGGGATTCCCATCTTAGATTTGGAGTGCTTATGTCTGCTGTATAACATGCAGGAAGTATTAGATCTAACTGAGTTCAGACTATTTAGAAAAAATATGTCACGTCTTTGTCTCATACATTCTAACCACTAGTTTTGGTGGGATTTTAGGGGAGGTTTTGTTTTTGAGATGGGGTCTTGCTGTGTCATCAAGGCCAGAGCACAGTGGCAATCACAGCTCACTTTAGCCTCAACCTCCTGGGCTCAGGTGATCCTCCCACCTCAGCTTCCCAAGCAGCTGGAACCACAAGTGCATGCCACCACGCCCAGCTAACTATTTTTTTAATCTTTTGTAAAGATAGGGTCTTGCTATGTTGCCTAGGCTGGTCTCAAATTCCTGGGCTCAAGTAATCCTCCTACCGTGGCCTCCCAGAGTGTTGGGATTGCAGGACCTGATGAAGGTCACACAATTAGTGAGCCACCACACCTGGCCTAACCACTAGTTTTTAAGAGTCCTTCCACTGCAAGTTTCCATCAGCTGTAAACAAACAAGAGTAAAACAATCACCTTCAATTCTTTAATTACTGTTTAGAGGTTGCCCTTCACAACAGGTTGTGCCTGTTTACTAGGGCTGCCATAACAAAATACCGCAGACCTAGTGGCTTAAACAACGGAAATTATTGTCTCATAGTTCGGGAGGCTGGAAATCAGGATGAGGGTGCCATGAGGGGTGCTATCTGGTGAGGCCTGTCTTCTTAGCTTGTAGCTGGCTGTCTTTTCACTGACTTCTTTTCTCTGCGCAAGTGTGGAGAGAAAGATCTCTGGTGTCTCCCTCGTCTTACAAGGACACCTGCTGTGTGGGCTCAGGGCCCCACCCTTTGGACCTCATTTAACCATAGTTACCTTCTTCAAGGCCCTGTCTCCAGATATTAGTGGCTCAACTTGTGAATTTTGGCAGGACACAATTCAGGTCAAAACAAATACTTGCCTATTGGAATAGTAATGAGTTTCCCATAGGAAAGAACATTATTTTCATTTTAATGGTTCTGGAAAGCACAAAGTCCAAAGAAGAGATTAAAAGCAATAAACATGTGGTCTAAAGAGTGATCACAATTGGTTGGGCATAATCATTGAGTATTGACACTCTTAAAGAATATCTTGATAATATCTGCTTCTTGGGTTATTAATTGACCATCTATTTATTTAATATTTGCAAATCAACTGTGCAATGCTGCGCATGCTGTTTGTATATTTATACCCTCTGTTGTTCCAAAAAGACTCCTTTAGTCCCCTCAGTGATCATAAGACTCCTAAAACCCACCATATTTCCTAGGAAGTGATTGTCACAACAAAAAGCGTTATTCCTTGATGCTATCTGTTATTCCTCTAACCGAGTCCACAGTCAGTTGTAGTAGTCCAGGTCAGGTGTGAATGCTGTCAAAGTCGGGTGTGAATGCTGTCAAGGTCGGGTGTGAATGCTGTCAAGGACAGTGTGCTACGCTTGGTCTGGCACAGCACCGTCTGGCCATTTAAAGCGTCCAAGCTAGTGGGAGTCAGGGGCGGAGCAGCGTGTCATAGTTAGTGCATGGGCATCTCAATTCCATACGGCACCCTCGGTCATGCTTCGCCCTAATGATTTAGACTACCTTCATAAAGAAGGAGCAGTCTAATAAAGCTGGGAAGTAGAAATCAATTCTTCAGTTTTATCCTTTGATTGAAAAGCTAATGATGGGGGTAAGAAGAATGTAGCAAATATACTTTAGTGGGGAGTGTAAATTTTACATAGTGACTAGATAAAAATTTTACATAGTAGCTAGATAATTTAAATGCCTGATATTTGAAAGGAAAACGTTGTTTAACCTCAGAAGTAGCACAGAATATAAACTTGAGGAGTGACAATACAAGGAAAGCTATCTCATTATCACACTCTGAATAGTGTGCAGTTGTGTATTTGTTTGTTTTGGGGCATCCAGAACATTCTGACACTTTGCTAATGCTACTTTATTCTTTATCTTATACAGTATAGCCAATGATATTAATATTGGAATATACCAAAGATAAAGTATGTTGAAAATATATTCAGAGTATATTCAAATATAAAGTATATTTCTAACATACGCCCCCATCCTTGAAAAGCATCAATCCGAGATTCTAACTGGGAACCGTTAGTATTTGAGAACGAGACTGCATTCATTGTACAGTCTAATTCTTATATTCTTGTGATCATTCGGAGGCTTTAGGAAGAAGGGGAAAGGAGAAATTAATGTTACTGAGTTAAGGACATTGCATGTTACCTTTTACAGTCCTGACTTCACTGAGAAGTTGGCATTGTGCTCTCACAGTTGAAGAAGGTAAGTTTCAGAGAAGTAAGGAAACTTGATTAAGGTCATACAATTTGTAGGTGATGGAGCCAGGAATCAAACTCAGGTCTTGGGAGAGGAGAAGCTACAATCTCATACCATTTGTCCCTTTGATTTGTCTGAATTTAAAATTCACCATCCTATAGCCCTTGAAATAACTATAGCTGGAAAAATATAGGCCATCCTTCTGCCTTTCATAGTCTAGTATGATGATTGTTTTCTCAGATGTGGTGCAGTGCCTGTTATATTTAAAACACATCTAATAAATTATTCCGGTAGTTTTGAAGGGATGGTGATGAAAGGATCATTCAGCAGCTTCATCTTTAAAATCAGTCTTTGCCAATTGTCATAAGGAAAGATTCTCTTTTAAATGATTTTTTTTTCTTTTTTTTTTCTTTTTCTTTTTTTTTTTTGAGACAGAGTCTCGCTCTGTTGCCCAGGCTGGAGTGCACTGGCATGATCTCGGCTCACTGCAAGCTCCGCCTCCTGGTTTCACACCATTCTCCTGCCTCAGCCTCCTGAGTAGCTGAGACTACAGGCATCCACCACCACGCCAGGCTAATTTTTTTTTTTTTTTTTGGTATTTTTAGTAGAGATGGGGTTTCACCGTGTTAGCCAGGATGGTCTCAATCTCCTGACCTCATGATCCACCTGCCTCGGCCTCTCAAAGTGCTGGGATTACAGGCATGAGCCACTGCGCCTGGCCTTAAATGATTTTTTAAAAGAAGCATTTGTAATGCTTGTTTCCCTAGAGTAGTTAACAAAGGAGACATGAGAACAGACTTCAAACCATCAGGAGCTTTCTATAGTGGGTTGACTTCAAAAACATAGCTTGCAGTAAACGCCTCTCCTTCCACTGGGCCAGCAGGCTGAGTCCAGGCTGTGCATCTCCTTAAAGGAAGGAAGATGTTCCTGTCACCCCACGTGACTGCTGCTTCTCTTTCTTCCTCTTCGCATACACCCTTACCAATAAATACATACCATCTCACCTACACCAAAAAGGTGGGTAGGGCAGACAGAGACATAGCACTGACTCCAGCGTCCCTTGTGTTGTAGTTACTTGTGGGTGTGTATATATCTGTCCCTGGTTTAATTTTGAGCTCCTAGGATTTTTCTATTCTTTATCTGTCTGGTAAGTATTATATTTAAAGAAAGCGATAAATATGTTTGTTGAATTGAAACGAGGAGCATTCTTGATTCCTCACAAAAGCTAGCTTTCTTGTCACCTGTGTGAAAGTCAAGCATCCCCTCATGAGGCAGAACTGAAATTCTGTACAACCTCTTTCAGAGGAACTGATTGCTGAGTCTGCTTCAGACCGCTGCCTGCACCATACGCATATTTCACCAAGTCTTTCTGGAGTTTCCAATAAATAAATATTCAGTCTTTAATTGCCACAGGAAGAATTATTTTATTCTTAGAACTTTGTGTATTTATAGAGAAGGTATTCATGTTCCCAAACTGTCTGTTCTTGCCATATTTACAGGCACAGACTGTAGGGCTCCCAGTGACCATGCATTCACCGAACATGAGGCTGCTGCGATCTGCCCTCCTGCCCCAGGCATCCAACGTGGAGGCCTTTTCATTTCCGGCATCTGGCTGTCAGGCAGAAGCTGCATTCATGGAAGAAGAGTGTGTGGACACTCCAAAGGTACGGCTGTGTTTGAGAGTCTCGGAACTGGCAGTGTGGCGAGAGATTTCAGTTTGGTCCACAAGTGTTTTACTTTGGCTTTATTGAACGTTATCATTTCCTTAAGTCACTCAGGAGTGATGCTTTTGTGGAGAAAAACCTAAGAACAGTGTCCAGGTTCAACTCTTGTCAGTGTTTATCATTGTGACCATTATGACCATTACGTAATTTGTCAGACCTCGTGGACTTCTGAAAAGTCCTCCTCATCTTTCTCCCTCCTTCACTAATTCCTTCTCTCTTCAAGTTTCCAGATCTCTCACAAGTGTTTGGGAGTATTTTTGATTTGTTTTTTTTTTCCCTAACAAATTAATGCTGAAAACAAAAAAATTAACTTTCATACCAAATTGGGCTTTATTTGATTGCTATTGCCGCTCTTCTGCATAGGGTACCTCAGGTACAGAACGATGGGCCATCTTTTGTGATCAGTTATACATGTTGTTTTGTCTAATTTGGAAGTGTTTAAAAGTTAGTGTGCTGGGCCAGGTGTGGTGGCTCAAGCCTATAATCCCAGCACTTTGAGAGGCTGAGGCGGGCAGATTGCCAGAGCTCCGGAGTTCCAGACCACCTTGGGCAACATGGTGAAACTCCATCTCTACTAAAATACAAAAAATTAGCCAGACATGGTGGCACACACCTGTAATCCAAGCTACTCAGGAGGCTGAGGCACTAGAATGGCTTGAGCCCAGGAGGCCGAGGTTGCAGTGAGTAAGCCGAGATCGCAGCACCACACTCCAGCCTGGGTGACAGAGTGAGACTCCATCTCAAAAACTTAATTAATTAATAAAAATAAAAGTTAGTGTGCAGAATGAAGTTGGCATTTAGGATACGGAAGATGACAGCTTTTCTCATTCATGGATGTTTCTTTAACTTCCAGTGTGTATTATATGTACTTAGCATAAGCAATGTACAGAAGATCATAATAATGGGTAGGAGAGTGTCATAGATAACATAGGTCTTGGAGCATGTTCAAAATAGACCTCCTCTTAGTGTGAACTTGGGCCACATAACAGAACTCTTTGAATCTCAGTTTTCTCTTGTATAAAATGAGAACACCAACTTTATGAGACTGTTATGATGATTAATTGAGATAATGTGTGTGAGGTTTGGGACAGATTATAGATACTCAATAAATATTGGTTTCCTGTATTTTTAGCCTCTTTAGGTAATAAAAAGATGAGTGAGACACGAACTCTGTCTCTCAGAGTTCACTATAGTCTAGCAGAAGAAACATTATACATACTAAAAGATGGCGTTGGCCGGGCGCGGTGGCTCACGCCTGTAATCCCAGCACTTTGGGAGGCCGAGGCGGGCGGATCACAAGGTCAGGAGATCGAGACCATGGTGAAACCCCGTCTCTACTAAAAAATAGAAAAAAATTAGCCGGGCGCAGTGGCGGGCGCCTGTAGTCCCAGCTACTCGGGAGGCTGAGGCAGGAGAATGGCGTGAACCCGGGAGGCGGAGCTTGCAGTGAGCCGAGATTGCGCCACTGCACTCCAGCCTGGGTGACAAGAGCGAGACTCCGTCTCAAAAAAAAAAACAAAAAAAAAAAAAAAAAAAAAAAAAAAAAAAAAAAAAAAAAAGATGGCGTGGCAGGTACTGAGTAAATTGATAAAAGATAAAATATGGGCCAGGCGCGGTGGCTTACGCCTGTAACCTCAGCACTTTGGGAGGCTGAGGCGGACGGATCATGAGGTCAGGAATTCAAGACCAGGGTGGCCAACATGGCGAAACTCCGTCTCTACTAAAAATACAAAAATTAGCTGGGCGAGGTTGCGGGCACCTGTAATCCTAGCTACACAGGAGGCTGAGGCAAAATAATTGCTTGAACCCAGGAGGTGGAGGTTGCAGTGAGCCAAGATTATGCCATTGCATGCCAGTCCAGGTGACAGTGCTAGACTGTACCTCAAAAAAAATAATAAAATAAAAAGATAAAATATGATCGGTCCCTTAAGGAAGTATAAATCAAAACGAGACTAGAAAGAGGCAGGGGGAGTTGCTTTTAGCTGTTTGATCAGGAAGGTCCGGTTTAATGATCAGAACTGGGGATCGAGAGGCGGGTAGACCCCAGACAGGTGGCTGGAAACCGGGGGTGGGGGGTGATGTCTACAGTGGAGGCAAGACTGGAAAAAGCAAGTACTAGGGAAGCCTAAGTCCATCTCCGTAGAGAGGGGTTCAGATGGTCTGAGGAAAAGGGCACATGCAGGGAAGCTGTGTGAAATAAAGATGGAGGAGGTTAGCATTGAATGGCAAGCCAAGAAATTTAGATGTTTCCCCTAAGCAAGTGCTTTCAATATGGGGATAGGTTTTGGTATCAGTTGAAACAACTGAAGGCACAATTGTTCGGGGAGTAGGAAACCGCTGAAGATATTTGAGCGAGGAAGCTCTGGGATCCGTGTTGCACATCAGAAAGTTAGCCTGCATATCGCTGTGTGCTCCGGTGCAGGGGAGAAACGTGACCAGGAAGACAGGTTAGAGCCCGTGTCCAGGAGGGAGGCGATGATAGTGACCATGAACCTGGAGGGGAGGAGACGGTAGAAATGAGATGGTGCAGATAAAATTGATAGAATATTAAGGTCTAGGGAGAAGACCAAACCAATAACAAGATTTTGAGCCTAGATGGAGGGTGACAGCTGTTTTCAGAAATGGGGAACTAAAGGCAGGGCAGATTCAAGAAGGCCGACCATGAGTTCAGACAAGCGTAACCCACAGCAGGCAGCTCAGTGCAAGGCTGCCACAAGCCGGTGTTGAGCTGAGTTGCTGACCTAAAGGATTTAGTGTCTGGGCCCCTGAGGACGAGTCCACTGCCTGGGGGCAGTCTTTCTTCTCTGCCCGTGGTTGCTACTATAGACCCACTCAGAAATTTAGACATCAATTAAGGCAGCATCATTCATTTATTTTAAAGATGTAATTCCCTCAAAAGAATTAAAATGCAGTTGACTCAAGGCTTATGTGTGAGGGCATCAGGCCTAAAACACAGCTCGGGCACTGACTGCTGTATTATGTAGGGCAAGCTATTTTTAAAGCTTGTGATTGTTACTGTAACCAGGAAACAGGCAGGAAATGAATGATTTTGCAGAAGATACAGACAGGAGCTAGATGGTATATTCGCATTTGTAGGAAGAGCAGTGCCACGCTGGAGCTGGCCACCCACACTGACAATGCCACGGTGGCACTCAGCCAGGCCATAGACATGCTCCGGGCTTCTTTGTGGACCATTTTATTTATGTCAGTGAAAATGCTTGTCCCTCTTCCCTCCCTAGGACCTCTTTCTTGGGGCCCATAAGTAAGTGCACACATACACAGAAAAACTATCAGAGACATGGTTCCCTTTTTATTGAGACTGCCTTGTGTGAATTTACTGTAACACCCATTTGTTGTTTTCTGATTGATGCTTCATAGCTGCGTGTAGTGATACTTGCATTTCTCCTCTCAACTGGGGACAGGTATTGTGCATCTCAAAGAGACTTCAGCTCTCCTTCCCTCTCAGAAATCTTCAGTGCTTAAAACTGTCAGTAAAATCCCTTAGGGAGTCTGAATGGAAACTTTGATTTGCAGCTTCAAAAAAATACTGCCTTTCTGAGATGGTCGCCCAACTCTAGATAAGAATGGTTGAATCAGGTGCTCCAAACAGGAACTGAGATCCACAGGTGACATGGGGGCCATATGGGAGGGCAGATGCATAAACTCTGCAGAATAAATCTCCTTTTAATAAGGAATTTTTAATACACTTGAGTCATTTTTAGCTTTTTTTTTTTTTTTTTTTGAGATGGAGTATCACTCTTGTCAACCAGGCTGGAGTGCAGTAGAGCGATCTCATCTTACTGCAACGTCCACCCGCCGGGTTCAAGCGATTCTCTTGCCTCAGACTCCCGAGTAACTGGGACTACAGGCACCCACCACCACGCCCAGCTAAGTTTTGTACTTTTAGTAGAGATGGGGTTTTGCCATGTTGGCCAACCTGGTCTCGAACTCCTGACCTCAGGTGACCCGCCCACTTGGCCTTCCAAAGTACTGGGATTACAGGCATGAGCCACCATGCCCGGTCCATTTTTAGCATTTTTATTTGAAATGTAATAAAAGGATTTTCCGAATTACCCCCTTCATAGCTGGATAGCAGAAGGAAACTGTGAGGGTAAACCCTGAAAATGCAGATATAGTGGAGGTGTTTCGTGTCTGCTTACATTTTTAATAACTTTTTTCATGACAAAGGCAGTACATACAAGTTCTGAAAAGGATATACATCTGGCCAGGTGCAGTGGCTCACGCCTGTAATCCCAGCACTTTGGGAGGCTGGGTGGATCACCTGAGGTCAAGAGTTTAAGAAAAGCCTGGCCAACATGGCAAAACCCCAGCTCTACTAAAAATACAAAAATTAACCAGGCATGGTGGTGCATACCTGTAATCCCAGCTACTCAGGAGGCTGAGGCAGGAGAATCGCTTAAACCCGCGAGTTGGAGGTTGCAGTGAGCCGAGATTGCACCACTGCACTCCAGCCTCGGCGACAGAGTGAGACTGTCTCACCAGAAAAAGAGAAAAGAAAAAGAAAAATCAAATCAATGAAAAATCAAGTCATTGTTTTCTAGCTGTCCCAGGATAAAATTGAACTCAGCAAATATTTTGTAATAAAAGACATAATTCCTCTTGTAGTCTAGATGAGAAAATAAATGTATAAACTGACAATTTAAGTAAAACCATAAATTCAGGGGTACTGCCGGGTGTTTTGTGTGACTCAGTAAAAACATTAAGGATAAAAAAAGAACCTGCATGAAAAGAAACACTGAACAGACAACCCACAGAATGAGAGAACATTTTTGCAATCTATCCATCCGACAAAGGTCTAATATCCAGTCTATAAGGAACTTAAACAAATTTACAAGAAAAAAAACCATTAAAAAGTAGGCAAAGGACAAGAACAGACACTTCTGAAAAGAAGACACTCATGCAGCCAACAAACATATGAAAAAAAGCTCAGCATCACTGATCATTAGAGAAATGCAAATCAAACCCACAATGAGATACTATCTCATGCCAGTCAGAATGGCAATTATTAAAAAGTTAGGAACAACAGATATTGGCCTGGTTGTGGAGAGAAAGGAACACTTTTACACTGTTGGTGGGGGTGTAAATTAGTTCAGCCATTGTGGAAGACAATGTGGCGATTCCTCAAGGATCTAGAAGCAGAAATACCAGCCCTCTTTTCCTTTCTCCGCCATCGTGGTGTGTTCTTGCCTCCGCTTCTCACCATGTCTTCTCACAAGACTTTCCGGATTAAGCGATTCCTGGCCAAGAAACAGAAACAAAATCGTCCCATTCCCCAGTGGATTCGGATGAAAACTGGAAATAAAATAAGGTACAACTCCAAAAAGAGACACTGGAGAAGAACCAAGCTGGGTCTATAAGGAATTGCACATGAGATGGCACATATATTTGTGCTGTCTGAAGGTCATGATCACATTACCATATCAAACTGAAAATGTCACCACTCTCTGGAGAGTTCGACATATTTTCCTCTCTGAATCTATTATGAATGCGTTGGTTGGCTGGGTTCAGTAATAAATATGTGAGGCCTTTCATTTCAAAAAAAAAAAGAAATACCATTTGACCCAGCAATCCCATTACTGGGTATATACCTAAAGGAATATAAATCATTCTATTATAAAGATACATGCACGAGTCTGTTCGTTGCAGCACTGTTCACAACAGCAAAGACATGGAATCCACCCAAATACCCATCAGTGATAGACTGGATAAAGAAAATGTGGTACAGGTACACCAATACTATGCAGCCATAGAAAGGAATGAGAACATGTCCTTTGCAGGGACATGAATGGAGCTGGAAGCCATTATCCTCAGCTGAACAGAAAACCAAACACCACATGTTCTCACTTATAAGTAGGGGTAGAATGGACACATGAGGGGAACAGCACACACTGGGGCCTATTGGGGGTGAGGGGAGGGAGAGCATCAGGAAGAATAGCTGATGCATGCGGGGCGTAATACCTAGGTGATGGGTTGATAGGTGCAGCAAACCACCATGGCACACGTTTACCATGTAACAAACCTGCACATCCTGCACATGGACCCTGGAACTTAAAAATTGAAGGAAAAAAAAAAGAGCCTACTTGTATGGCTTATCCTATAAGAAATGTCTTTTGACGGAGGCCGTAAGTATAAGGATGCTCAATAGATAATTACTTAATGATCTTCTTTTCTCTGTTGCCTTATTCATTTCTAAACCATTCTTGGCTAGTTTTAGAAAATTGTATTAGTAGAGAGTTAAGGAGCTTAGAGGTATGAATATAAGTTCTCAAACAGCCATTCTTTCTTGTAAGGAAACTATTAAGTTTAGTCAGAAAGGAAAGTTTATCTGGGGAAGGACCAAGGAGAGAGTAAGAGTTGCTGGCCAGGTTTCAGAGTTTTGCTTTCTGTTGCCATGGGGAAGGTTGGCCAATGTGGAAAGGAAGCATTTGCCACTCTTCCTTTTAAATGACCACTCATCACTTTAAAACCCTGTAATGCATTAGCCACCTTACCCGAGTGAGGGCTATAGCCCAGAATGGATTTTATGGAATAACCTTCCCCTCCCTGCAGCAAACAAAGATCTGAGTCACCCGAGTCTCCTTCTCCAAATAAAGGGCCTCGCCGCGCCTTCAGATTGGCTGTCGTAAGAGGAAAGTTTCCTGTGTGTCTGGCAAAGGGAAACCCCACGCCACCTCTCACATACATGAGCTTCTCCTGCTTCCAAAGGAAACAGCAGCTCTAACCAGTGTTTTCCAGGTGAAAGTACTGCTCAGAATGAAGCGTCTTATTACTGGCTGTTCCTGAGCAGCTATTCATAGGAGAAAATAGATTGATTTCCACGGGGGAATAGTTAAGGTAATGAGGTAAATAATTACCTCCTCACAGGGGCCTTTCCAGCCAGAACTTGCAACCACAAACCCCCCCCACTCCCACCCTGCCGCCGGTGTGCTGTTCTGCCTGCCATTAGGCGGTTTGCGTGGCAACTGCATGGGAAGGGCCAGTGCTTGCAGGGAGCCGTGCCGCGCTCACCCCTGTGGGATAGGAACCATCGATAACGTATATGTTGCTGGAGGAGACAGAATTCAGTGCCCTGGGGCTTATTAGCCTTTGCTGGAATTTTGGGCCAGTGAGCCATTTGTTGTTCTACAATGGAAGGCTTTGGCCGTCTGCCATTTGAATTTTTTTTCAATCCTTTTTGTGGTATCAGTCTGTCTATATAGAATTCTTACTTTCCATTCCTCAGGCATATAGAACCAATTAAAGACTAGATCAAACAGGCAGGTACTTAAATTATGAACATAAAAGTCTTCCTAAAACCTTCCAGTATGTTTATGGTTGAAAAGGTGACTACCCCCCCCCTTTTTTTTTTTAGCAGTGAGCCGTATAGTTTAAAAAAAAAAAAAAACTCATCTTCCCCCTCTTCATTTCCCTTATTTAAAAGAAAAATAACCGGTAGGCCTCAAACTAATATACCCCTGTTCTTCTGGAAACCACTAAAAAAGTTGTTTATTGTAATAATGATGACTCAGAGAAACCTGGGCAGCAGTGCCAGTTCAGGTCATCACGGGCTTCTGTCTCTCTCTGAGTCCTGCAGTTGACTTGCCTTCACTTCTAATCTATGTATTGTCATTCATAATAAATATGTGCATCTTTAAATATTTTACTTAATTTCTAGTTTGCCACAAGTCTTGACATGTTTTCCTTTGTGGATTTTTCTGTCTCAGCAGTGCAGAAACTGAGTTTCCTCTCTCCCCTGGCGTTTAGGTCAATGGCTGTCTGCTTGACCCTGTGCCTCCTGTCCTGGTGCGGAAGGGATGCCAGTCACTGCCCAGCAACATGATGGAGACCTCCATTGACGAAGGGCTGGAGACAGAAGGAGAGGCTGAGGAAGACCCCGCTCATGCCTTTGAGGCATTTCAGTCCACACGCAGCGGGCAGAGACGGCACACTCTGTCAGAAGTGACCAATCAACTGGTCGTGATGCCTGGAGCAGGTACGGTAGAGGAGCGACACTAGCTTAAGTCTTCATGGCATCATCTCATACTCCAATCGCCAGCCAGTGGTCATGATGCCAGCCAACTCCTAAAATTGAATCGATAGCTTATTCCTTTATGGAGCAGATTCAGCAGGCGTTGCAGATGCAGCCTGGCAGCAGCTATCAAAGGTGAATTGAAACGTCTCAGAGTTGGCTCCCATAGTCCCCAGGATTCATATGGGTGCCACATGATTCATCAGGGACTCTGGCTCTTTAGGACTGGCTGTGATCTTACAGATGCCACTTCTGGAGTGTTCTCCCCACTAACCTTGAAGATGACTAAATTGGCCAGTAAAAAGTAAACATCTGAAAAGATGTTTTGATTGGAGATTAAGGACATGGTAGCTGTCAAGTCTCAAGCTGGTTATGCTTTGTACCCTATGTTCCAAGAAGATGCTATTGCTGTTGGTTTTATCTGTTCTGTTTTCTCTTAAAGGGAAAGTTTTCTCCATGAATGACAGCCCCTCCCTTGACAGTGTGGACTCGGAGTATGATATGGGGTCTGTTCAGAGGGACCTGAACTTTCTGGAGGACAACCCTTCCCTTAAGGACATCATGTTAGCCAATCAGCCCTCACCCCGCATGACATCTCCCTTCATAAGCCTGAGACCCACCAACCCAGCCATGCAGGCTCTGAGCTCCCAGAAACGAGAGGTCCACAACAGGTCTCCAGTGAGCTTCAGAGAGGGCCGCAGAGCATCGGATACCTCCCTCACCCAGGGTGAGCACTTCCTCCTCTGCCTTTTGAAACTCGCGTCATAGGAGGGCAGTTTCTTGCCATGTTAGTGTGATCACCTGTGGTCACCGAAAGGCCTCGTATTTTAGTTAAACTGTTTGGTCTTGGGGCTTTCTTTCAGGAATTGTAGCATTTAGACAACATCTTCAGAATCTGGCTAGAACCAAAGGAATTCTAGAGTTGAACAAAGTGCAGTTGCTGTATGAACAAATAGGACCAGAGGCGGACCCTAACCTGGCACCGGCGGCTCCTCAGCTCCAGGACCTTACTAGCAGCTGTCCTCAGGTGGGTACCTTGGGCCCTTCCCTCAGTGACTGTGTGAGGATGAGGTGTGAGTTGGTCCTGAAGATGGTCATTTTCACTTAGAGGATTTCCTCCAGTCCTGGAGCAAACAGGTTCTTTGGGAAAAGCCACAGCTTCTTTGCCTTGTTGCTGCCACCTGCCACTGACGGGTTCAACCCATCCACACTGCTTCCAAGTGATCAATACCAGATGGAGGCCTGGAGACTCTTAAGCTGTTTTTGGCTCACAGGGCAGAGTATAGATGAGTGACCTCTTACAGTCACCCTTGAACTCCCCTTCCTCCACCACACATGCACAAATGAAGAATAATGAACTGCACCCAAATGAGAAGCTTCTCACCACTACTTTTGATGTGGTATCACTTTAGTAAATATTACAAGTAGATTATTCATACTAAAAATACAATAAATACTGCTACTTATCCGATTTTTTTTTTTTTTGAGCGTATTTTCAGTGCACCCAAGAGGATTATAGTTCAAGGCCCACGTGAAGGCCATGGCCTCCTGGCGACACCCAGAGCCTTTGCTCTAGTACTGACTAGGTAGTTGTTAACTAGAGATAATACATGCATAAATGTTCGACAGAGTAAGGAGCCCTCAGCCTACTGGCTCCGTAAAAGCTTTGCGTATTAGTAAGTCTTAATGGAGTTGGAATTCCTTTTGGACATTTGCAAAGGTGCTTCAGCTAAGAACTGAGTTGTTTTTCCCCATGGGGAATTGGTGAAAATTGTTTCCACCCCCTTGCTCCTCAGGAGGAAGTTTCTCCACCGCAGGAAAGCGTCTCCACTCTCCCTGCCAGCGTGCATCCCCAGCTGTCCCCACGGCAGAGCCTGGAGACCCAGTACCTGCAGCACAGGCTCCAGGTGGGTTCTCCTTGCGAGTCCACCTCACTCTGCTCATCCGGAATGTGTCCTTCTGCAAAGCAGAAACGTGTTGTGCCTGGCATTTATTTAGGGTAGCCGCTTGATTCCTTATAAGCAAGTAGCTTTGGCTTTGTCCTTGCAGTTTCTAGAAAGGTGTTCAGTTTCAGCCTTATGCTCTGTGTTGGTGGTGGGAAAGGCTTTGTCCTCAGGCCCCACAAAAGGATATGTCACTGAGGGGTAGGAACGGGAGACCTGGCTTCTTTCTTTCTAACTATACTCCTCTTAATGAGTAATAAATAAAATGAAAATCTTAAGTCTGCAGAATGTCTACATGGACTTTATATGTTGGTGCATAAAAATCTTAAAAAGTGATGAAGCACCGATCCCATAAAGGACGACTCATTCATTCAGTGGTGGAGATCTAACTCCACCTTTCTCATTACTTCTTAACGTCCATGAGCTCACAGTCCTAGTGGACTTTGGGAAATGGAGTGGAAAACGGAAGTAGGTGAGGTCAGAGATGGACCAGGCCTGCTGGCCTGATGCTCTTTCAGGGTCTCCGGGAGCAAATGTCAGTCCCTTCAACCCATGTGGATTCTGTAGGATACAGTTGGATTCATCCTGCAGGCAGAAGCACATCTGCTGACTGCATCCTAGCACATTGTCATGCTCGTGTTGTTTTTCTGCTCTTCCAGAAGCCCAGCCTTCTGTCAAAGGCACAGAACACCTGTCAGCTTTATTGCAAAGAACCACCGCGGAGCCTTGAGCAGCAGCTGCAGGAACACAGGTGAGAAGGGGGCTTTGGCCAAAGAAGTTGCTTCCTTTCTGGAAGCCTTGAGAACACTGAATGTGTTATCCTTTCCCTCCCACGTTCGCCATTACTAGGAAAATAGGTTTTCTGCATGTGCCACAGGCCCTCTGAGCATGATTACTAAGAGGATATCTCAGTATCCATGGAGGATGGTCCTGTCAGGCACTGGCAGCCCTACGGCGTACTTTGTTTTCCTTTTCTTCTAGCGTTTCCTCTTTTGGGTATGACTAGCTCCAAGCTTTCACAGTCGGTTGCCCAAAGCATGGAGGTGGGGTAGGCGGCACAGGAGCCTTCCGTCCTCCCTTACTAGCATGTATGCCCACTGGCCTCACTAGTAAAAGCAGCTTGGCCAAGGTAGAGCTACCTTAATCAATCCATCAACTGCCGACATCTGCAGAGGCCGAGGTGTGACTCTCTCCTCTTCTAGCCTCTTCATAAGGGAAATATCCTCTCATTGTATAAAGAGGAAAACTCGGAGTTAGAGAAAATGCATTCCTGCTCACGTTAGCACTGAAGGATCATCAGAACTGGAGGGCAAAAAAACGAGATTAGGTTGAAGAGAACCCAACACAATCGGTCCCCAGTCCCACTTGTTTTTGCTGACATGAGAGAGAGAGACTCAAGTAGAGGACTGAAGCTACTGACTGGTATTGCATTTACATTAAAATTGCTATCACTTGAGAAGATTTAAAGTTCTTTCCTTTGATATTAACAATTTAGGCTCCAGCAGAAGCGACTCTTTCTCCAGAAGCAATCTCAACTGCAGGCATATTTTAATCAGATGCAGATAGCAGAGAGCTCCTACCCACAGCCAAGTCAGCAGCTGACCCTTCCCCGCCAGGAGACTGCACCGCCTTCTCAGCAGGCCCCACCGTTCAGCCTGACCCAGCCCCTGAGCCCGGTCCTGGAGCCTTCCTCTGAGCAGATGCAATACAGCCCTTTCCTCAGCCAGTACCAGGAGATGCAGCTTCAGCCCCTGCCCTCCACTTCCGGCCCCCGAGCTGCTCCTCCTCTGCCCACGCAGCTACAGCAGCAGCAGCCGCCACCACCACCACCACCTCCACCACCACGACAGCCAGGAGCTGCTGCAGCTCCCTTACAGTTCTCCTACCAGACTTGTGAGCTGCCGCGCGCTGCTTCCCCTGCGTCAGACTATCCCGCTCCCTGTCAGCATCCTGTGGATGGAGCCCAGCAAAGTGACCTGACGGGGCCAGACTGTCCCAGAAACCCAGGACTGCAAGAGGGCCCCTCCAGCTACGACCCACTAGCCCTCTCCGAGCTGCCTGGACTCTTTGATTGTGAAATGCTAGATGCTGTGGATCCACAACACAACGGGTATGTCCTGGTGAATTAGTCTCAGCACAGGAATTGGGTGGGTCAGGTGAAGGAAGAGTATATGTTCCTATTGTTATTCCAGCCTTTTAAATTTAAAGCTTATTTTCTTGCCCTCTCCCTGATGGGGAGAAATCGAGTCACCCAACTGGAATCAGAGGGCCTGGCTGGGGTGGATGTTGCTTCCTCCTGGTCCTGCCCCGCCACAGAGTTGCCTGTGGCAAGCGCTGGAACATAGTTGTAGCTGAGGCTTCTGCCCTTAGGTCGAGTGGAGCAAGCTCTCGAGGGCGGCACTGACAGATGTGTTCCTAAGAAGACATTCAGGCCCAGGTCTTATGCAGGATTACATCCTTTTATTATCAAGGGCAACCTTGGTGAAAGCAGAAAAGGTGTGTGCTATTGCATATATATGGGGGAAAAAAGGCTGTCCATTTTTCACTGAAGCCGAGCCACCACATATGGCTACAAGGCAAATCAAGACGATATCAGGAAATCAGATGCACAGGAAATAAAGGAAAGCTGTGCTTTGTCATTGAATCCTAAGTTCTTAGCTGCTGATGCAAGTTGTCCCCCAAGGCCATCACAAAGCAGTGGGGCGTGAGCTCTGTTACAGGGGCCACTAAATAACGGCTGGTACTGACCCCAGAGACCACCTTCATCTCCATTCGGGAGCAGGTGACATACCCCTTCAGAAGGTGCCCTGGGTTGCCGAGTGTCAGAATATACTCAGGACTCCAAAGGTGTCACACGTGGAACTGACAGGAGACCCGCCACCGTGGAGACAGGGGGCAAGAAACTCAAGAACGCATCAAGAGCACCAGCCCTGGGCCAGGGAAGACAGGCTTTTCCTGCAGTCTCTCGTGGACACTGCTGGCTTGGGGGCAGTCGCTCTCCAGGGTACCTGTTGTCTCTTTTCCAATGTAATAACTACTTTGACCTTACACTATATGTTGCTAGTAGTTTATTGAGCTTTGTATATTTGGACAGTTTCATATAGGGCTTAGAGATTTTAAGGACACGAAAAATGAACTTTTACGTCCCATGTGAAGTGGTAGTGCTGTGCCTTTCCCCCAGATCATGCTTTAATTCTTTCTTTTCTGTAGAAACCAACAGTTTCCATTTATGTCAATGCTAAATCCAAAGTCACTTCAGAGTTTGTTTTCCACCATGTGGGAATCAGCATTCTTAATTTCCTTAAAGTTTTGACTTGTAATGAAATGTTCAAGTATTACAGCAATATTCAAAGAACCACAGATGTGTTAACCATTTAAGCAGATCATCTGCCAAACACATTATATTACTAATAAAACTTAACCAACACTTACAATCCAGTCATCAAAGTAAGTAAAAATTAGATGTTACAGCTAGCTAACTGTATCCCTAGAAATGATGAATAATTTGTCATTTGGACAGTTAACATCCAGGTGTTACAAATTCAGTGTTAATTCTAAAGATGACCATTTCTGCCCTTTAGAATGGCTTGTCCCATCAGCAGATGAATGTGTAAGCACAAAGCATCTTCCTTAAAGCACAAAGAGAGGGACTAACTGATGCTGCATCTAGAAAACACCTTTAAGTTGCCTTTTCTCTTTGTAGTTAGTGTCCAGGCAGGTGAAGTGTGGAAAGTCTAGGGGGTTCCATTCTGGCCGTGTGAGCCCAGCTCCTACCAACTTCAGTAACTTGAGCAGTCTCTGTTGCTGGCCAGAGACTGTCTGGTCGCCAGCTCACTATGGTGCCAGGACACTTCGCTGAGACACTGTGCTCGGGGTTGGACTCGGTGTCAGTGGGAAAGGGCAGTGTGGGGACTGTCATTTTTGTGATTTAATAACACAGTGAAAATCCAGGAAGAATGAATTAAGCTCCTTCTGGGAGTTGTTTATTCCCTCGTGCTTAAGATTGATGATTTCGTGAAATAAAGAACATCATTTCATTTAAGAGATCATTTCATTAAGATCTCTAATCTGTTTTGAGTCTTTGCAAAATAGCCAGTTATAAAATGGGGCTTGATTTGTTTAGACTGAAGGAAGACATTTTCCCAAAATATACTACAGAAGTGCTACAATATTTGTGATATTAAAATGCCTTCCAGATTGAAAATGGGGGCCGCTCATTTCAGAACTGCAGGAATGGTGTAGTTACAGATCGACATAAACTCCTGCCCCCCAAAAATGCCATGAGCTGCTTAGCCCAGGAGACCTGGGAGCTATGGCAGGATGGTCAGGCCAGCCGATGAGGGACTGCAGAGAGCTACTGGAAGGTTAAGGACCCAGAGAGAAATCAAGCTGTGCCCCGCGACAGCCAGGCCTATCAGGAGCCGTCAGACACGGCAGCGGCGTGGACACCGGCCTGACGCAGAGCGTGACCCCTCCTGCTGGGACCTGTGTTGTAAGCTCCTATTTGCTTATCTTGTTTATTTCCAGCAGAAATCAATAAATTCCATAACCCTCTGTATTGACTGCAATGTAAGCTGCTGAAGAGACTGGTTCTGTTGGTCAGTCAGGTGTTTGCTCAGCCCCGTCTGAGCTGCTCTGTCCCTAACTAGTGACCCATGGAAGCTTTCAGGCAGTTTTCTCTTCATCAACACTAATGTAACACTAAGAAGGCTTAGTATCGCTCTTTTTCTCCGGGGCTACTCTGAAGTACTGACTTGCTTTCCAGTCTGTTTCACATTAGCAGTGTGTACACTACTGTATCATCATCATCAGCTTCATCACCCTGTAAACCAGGCTCCTCTGAAGAGACTTTGGTGAGATAAACATGAGGTAAAAATTTCATTCAGCAAAAAGTGCAATATGTGTGGTACTTTATTTTTTATGTTCTTTTTTTTTAATCCGGGGTATTAGTCTCTGCTTTGGGAGAAATGCACTAGCTCTGCAATTTCCAGCTGGGCAAGTGTGTCTCTAGTATCTCCATGCAGCGGATACACTCGTCCCTGTAAGGCAAACAGCATGTTAGCCCGACGGGAAGAGGGGGCCCACTTTCACATTCCCAGTGACACCGACCATCCCAGCTGCCCCCTCACCACCTCTGCCTGCACTGCCCTCTGCCACCATGGGAACAGAAGGAGGCCGACAGTTCTCTACACCAACCCCCTGGAGGATCCCTGGGTGGGAGAGCATCAGGGCCCAGCAGGGGAGTGGGAATGGGGCTCAGGGACTGTTCGTGCCCATCTGAGCAAACCCCTTCTCTCCTCCATCCACTTTTGCCTCCTAGGAAAGAAAAAGTCAGTGGCCTTTCCTCCTCAGATATCAAGAACTCCCCGTGTTTAAACCATGTGCTGGAGTCAGGCTGGGACGGACAGGAGCCCAGGACTGAAGCCAGCCTTTGTCTCTTATGCCCCTTCCCAACTCTGGCGCTGGAGTAATGGGGGGTTCTGTGTTTTGATGGGGAGCAAGGGGGGACCCCCTGTAGGAGTATCGGCCTCTCCCCTGCCCCCTACCCTTTCCCATGGACCGAAGGCTCCAGCAGAAGGGACTCATCGTGAAACTGACCAACTCCCCCACCTCCGCCCACACACTGAGTGTCATCATCAGTCCTAAAGGCACGGAAACGCTCGCAGAATTCTGCCCACGGGTTAGACGGCGGGGGGATATTCCCAGCCCCAGTGATCAGGTGATCAGCCAGAAACGAAGGCAAGGTGACAAGCAGCAACCTGGAGTCACAGTTGGTCAGGGTCCCAGGCGTGCAGGCACCAAACAGCCTCCGGAGACACGCAGGCGGGTGAGGATGCAAGGACAGGGTGAGTGAGCGGCGCTCCTTTTTGGGGTCCGCCAGCCTCTAATCAAGCCCCAGGTTCATAAATATGTTTATATTACATTTTAAAACCTGTATCAACAGTCACACTTAAGCTCCCTATTGGTTTAAAGAAAATTCACACTCCAGATAGCTTTTTCCCATTTGACCTCCTGTAGAGACAATATGCAGTGTGTCATTTCACAGAGTCGGTCCCTGTGAATCATGGCTGACCCCCGTGCTGGGGATGACCTGCTACACTTGAACTCCTAACCTGGCTTAGCCTCTGCTGCCTCCTGGGAAGCCACCGAGCCACTCGGTCTCTTTGTGCCTAAACATCAAAGGTGAAAATTGGAGAACAGGGAGGCTTGTAAGTTGGAGTCATTGTATGGGCAGGGATCTTTGATCATTTTGTTGCTTCTGGAATTTTTTTATTTTTATTTTTTTTTGAGACAGAGTCTTCCTCTGTCGCTCAGGCCAGAGTGCAGTAGTGCAATTTCTGCTCACCGCAACCTCCACCTCGTGGGTTCAAGCCATTCTCCTGCCTCAGCCTCCCAAGTAGCTGGGACTACAGGTGTGTGCCACCGCATCCAGCTAGTTTGTGTATTTTTAGTAGAGATGGGGTTTCACTATGTCCAGGCTGGTCTGGAACTCCTGACCTCAGGTGATCCACCCACCTTGACCTCCCGAAGTGATGGGATTACAAGCGTGAGTCACTGCACCCGACCTGGAATTTTTTTATGGAACTTATCTTCAGAGCGACGTACGAAAGACAAGAGCAGTATCGGCCGGGCACAGTAGTAGATGAAGTAGATTAGTAGTAGTAGGTGAAACTCTGTCTCTACTAAAATACGAAAAAATTTGCCGGGTGCAGTGGCGGGCGCCTGTAGTCCCAGCTACTCGGGAAGCTGCGGCAAGAGAATGGCGTGAACCTGGGAGGCGGAGCTTGCAGTGAGCCGAGATCGCGCCACTGCACCCCAGCCTGGGTGGCAGAGCGAGACTCCACCTCAAAAAAAAAAGACAAGAGCAGTATCATCTGCCTTTGTTTCTAAACTGGACAAAGAGATTTTCTTAAAGTTTCTGTCTCCCTTCTGACAGGTTCCACAGCATGGTCTGAAGCACCAGTAATGTCAGAGTCCTTGTCTGGCCCTTGGTGGCGAGTGAACGAAGGCAGTGGAGCCTCTCACCTCCCAGTAGCCTCTCACATTCTTATTTTACCATTTTTGTCCTAATTAAGGTAGCCTGGCTGATTCTAAAAGACTAGCAGCCATCCTAGGTGCACCCCCACCTTACGTCCACATCTTCTCCAGGCAGGTTTCAACCTATCAGCAGACTCGGGCACACACTGGGGCACAGCTAGAGCACCAGGCAGCACTGCCCACAGAGCCACCCAGGGAGAGCTTTGATGCGTTCTGCCCAGATACTGCGCTCGCCCGCCCACAAGGGAGCAATAGCTTATATTTGTACATTAGTTTTACCAAGCACTTTCGCAAGTACTCTCTTCTCATCCTCACAACAATTCTATGACATTAGCTGGGGAGATACTGTCCTTATTTTTCACAGCTGAAGAAACCAAAGCTCTCGGAAGTTTGTGACTTCTCTGAGATCACAGCTGGTGATAGGAGGAGCTGGGACAAGCGCTTGGGCTGACTGGCTTCTGGTTTTGGTTCTCGGGCTTCTTGCTCTGGAAGAAGCCCTCTCTTTCCCCTCTCTTTCTTCAGTAGCATCTGACTCTTTTCTTAAGCAAACAGCTGTATAAACAAAGCCCCCATTTTGGTCAAGCACAGGGTGAATGTGACATTGTTCCCACAGCCTTCTTCTCCACTGGACAGCCGCCTGGCTTTGGGGCAGAGGCTGCTTTCAGGTGACAGTGCAGCTGTCCAGGTGGCCGTGCACTGAACCAGGCTGAGGGAGACAAAGACCCCGCAGACCCACCTGCCTTTCAGCATCCAATTAACTGCAGAAGTTTAGGCTCACCTCAAAGACGCCTAGTTTTTCCAAGTTACAATACAGCAGTTTCCTACAGGACACCCCCCTACTCAATTGCCAGGAGGCCGCACTGCATGGCATCAGGCCACCACTGCAGGCCAGCAGATTCCACCCCAGGAACCGTCATGAACTCAGCCTTTGTCTCGAGGGGCGTGACATTTCCTTACAGTCAAGCCCCATCAAATAGAAGTGCTTATTACTTTTAGGATTAAAAAAGTAATAACAGACTTTGACTTAATACTCTGTCTTTTCAGAGGCAAAGTGGGTGGGCAGAGGGGAGCTTTAAAAATAGAAGTACAAAACAACATCCTGGAAACATATGACCCCAGACGGAATAATGTCACATTCCCCAGTGCAGATAACGGGCTGCTGCTGGCTCTGTGGTGTCTGTCTGCTGAAGATTTGCTCAGTCAAGGAAATTCAAGTGGTGAGACCTTTCCACCATGGGTGGTAAGAGAAACCTGCCTTCACCAAAATCTCTGAAGGGGAAAGCAGCGGAGAGAAAGGTTTGCTTCACTTCGGGGACTGCAGTTTGAGAAATAAAAGGGATACGGAGATATTTGCACTTTGTGGAAAGGGCAAGATTATTTGCTTATATCTGAAGGGAGGCGGGTGGTTTCGCTGGATGTTTGGTCTGAAAGAGTTACTTTTGATAAAGTTAATCTAACTGTAGTTATTTTTTTCTGTGTGCTTTTTTTTTAATTACTAAGAAAAAATTGGTGAGTTCAATAGCTTTGGTATTATGAGTGCAAATCATAATAGCTCCAATTTGAAAAAAAAATCAAAAGTATAACTTGTCACTCAATGTTAGAAAATTGCCTAAAATGCAGTGTAATAAATAATCTTTGTACCAAATGGTAATTTAAATGGGGTAATTTTCTGCAAGGAAAATGTACTGTTTTTGTTTCCAACCCTCTTGAATTAAAATAAAAACAACTTGTTTTCTAAGAGCCCGGGCGGTGTGAGTGTCAGGTTAATGCGATAGGGCTTTTGCCTCATCGGGCCTTGGGTGGAATTTTTAGAGTAGGGAAGGTGGCTGTGTTCTCTGAGTTCTGGTGCTCATTTCAGGCTGCAGAAAAGGACAGTGGATAATATGTTCTCATTGACGTCAGCAGGGTAAATAATACCTTGCTCTGAATCGCCTGAGTACACGTTAGCCGCTGCAGATCGCTGACGGAAGCACTGCTAACCGCAGCCTGCACAAGGACAGGGCCCCGC